GCTCGGTATAACTCGGTATTGGTCTTCACATGATGATATTCCTCGTTATTATCAAATAATACCTAGCAATACCGAGCAAAAACCGAGTTTTTTGGCGGTGGGAGGACGTATCTCTACGTCAGGTGGGAGGACGCAATAAAAATTCCTAGCAACAAAGGGGTTCCGCCCCTGACTATCATTACCATCAAGTTGATTAATCTAGATTATTCAAACAATCCATAAAAAAAATAAAAAATAAACAAATGGATTCACATGGCTAAATTGTTCAAACTTGGCTTGCCAAGACTGGCTTATAGTTATTCATTTCTTTCTATGTTAAATGGTACCTACCAATTGATCGATGACTAATTGCTTTTTATCTTGTTTTAGTAGTTTTTCATCATTATGTTATGCCCTAAAAACCATCATGCTTGTTGATGAACACCTTCAGAAAAAAGTTGTCTAATTTATCAAAGAGTTTTGTCTCAAGAAGTATACTTAGTTTCTAATTTAGAGGTCTTATACTTAGTACAACATTAATGTTTTTTCATCACCATCTTTTCAAGATAAATCTGCCCTTATCATTCCTTGAGATATTGTAAATTAGCTTGATGGACCTCAAAAAATTTTCTTATTTAAGAATTTAATGTATTGCTACCCCCACTTTCTCCTATCAACAATTTTTAAAAGAATGACAATTTAGTTTAGTACATTTTTTGTCTCATTACATAACGCAAGGCATGCTCTCATCAAACTCTTGATTATAGAATATTACATTGCACTGTTCGCCAATATTTCTCCTGATTGCGAGCTTCCTTATAAAGATGCAAAAATAGTCATTATAGCTTAACTTAAATGAATTACCTAATGCCTCAATTTTGATAGCATATCCCAATTTCGAAGTTTATCTTTTTTGAAAAAATCAAATTTTTCTCTCTCTGAGTTTGATTATTTATGATAACTTATTGTGTGAAGGTATTTCATTGACATCTATATCATATTCTTCTATGGAAAGAATGAAAGTGAAAGTTAAAGTATGTGAGGCCTTTAAAAAGAAAATCTAGATAGGTAAAAAAAAAAAGTCCAGATTTGATGCATGGAGTCCAGATTTCTTGATCTGGCTTTAGAAGCTTCTCTGAAGGCTGATTCGCTGGTTTTCGCTGGGTCTATTGCTGTTCGGATTTTACTGTCAGGCTTTATTTTTCAGCCTGAACGATGATGATAGCTTGACTTTGGATACTCTTGGATGGTCTTCGGGCAACCAGAGTATATGCTCTCTAATTTTCAATCCAGTCTAATTGAGTTCAGAGCTTATCGATGGAACTAAGACTGTTCATTTGAGTTTCACCCTTTCTGTTTTTGTTTCTGCTAGCTCTTATTGTATTTCTTTTTATGATATGATTTTACTATCATTTGTTTTCATTGTATTTTTATTTTTCGTTGATGAATAAAAGGCTTTAGCCAAATTTTCCCAAAAAAAAAAAGTTATTAGTAGAGTGTCGCCTTCAAGACGATTTCTTTTTATTATTAGTTTGTCATATTCTTGATCACAATAAATCTTCTTGAAAGAAATCAGCTATAATTTATGTTGTAATGATGACTTAATTGGGATGCTAAAGTGTAGAATCATAGTAATGCCGCTCCTTTATTGATAATGGGCTATTTTCATAGTAATGGCTCCTTTATTAATTAGTTTTTTTTATTATTTAATTTTTATTTCTTATGTTAATATAAAAAAAAAATCTTCATCTTAATATTTACTATCCATGAAATTGTACTTAGAGTTGAATTCAAATGAAGAACTTCTTCCATGTTCTTCTTTGACTAATTATATTACTCCTTTATTAATTACATTCATTGTTCCAAACAAAAGCTAAGATAATTCAACTTTTCCTAACTAAATAATTAACAAATTCATATTATACAAATTATTTTCTTATCACATGTGATAATAGCAAGAACTACTTGTCACTGAATGATCTTCATCTTAAGCTATTTTTATACTGAAAAAAATTCTATAAAAGTGAAATGAAGTGAAAGATCTTTAATTTCTTCAGTAATTTAATTCTTTCAGGCTTCCAAATTCAACAATAATTAATACAAGTTGCTGAAAAAGTCCTTTCATATGGTCATGACAGTACTGAATTCAGTATGGAATATGAACTAATTCATTGTATCTGTCCAATATTTTCTTTGTATAAGACTGAACAATCTCCAATCCAGATTTCCAACAAGGAAAATTCAAGTTCAAATTGAAGTGTGGAACTATAATTCAAAAAAAGAAAGAGATTTCTTCTTACATGTTTCAAAAAAGAAATCTTCAAAATTACAAACAAAGAGAAGAGTCTGCTAGCTACTTTGGGCTATCAACAATGAGAAAATTCTTATCTGCAAAAGCACCCAACTGATTCCTAACACAGGAACTTAGCCATGAAAGCTAATGAAGGTAGAGAGATATGATCAATTATGAGATGATGGGAGTTCCAAGATCCTCTCGGATATTGCATTTGCTAATGATGTTTGAAAATTCGGATCTTTCGACAGTGCAGCTGCCATTTGCTCGATCATAACCTTCTGAAACTCTACAGAAGTTGTCTCTGTGCTAACCTTATCTGAATTAACGTGCCACCGATCATCGGTAAGGTCGACAGTGACGGTCTGGCCGGCGGAATTAGGTGTTGAGCTAACACCATGGCTCGCACGGGAAGGTGTCTCGCCTTGTAGAGGAGGCCTGTGATTGTGCTCACCTTCATATGTGGCCACTAAGATAGACAAATCATCAACACTTCTCTGCACCTGCAATTGAACTGCAAATTCAGACTTTATGATCACAAGAAATAAGAATCCATTTTTATAGAATTTGTTGTCTTGCATAATATGTATACCTTCTTCTTAACCGGGCATGAAGGGGCAAAGGAGCATCTGAAATAAGCTCTTGGTGAGGGGTTATCTCTTGTAACTTTCTGCCCATATTTCCTCCACTGATAACCATCTTTTACCACCTGAGAGAACAAATTATAACCAATCAATCCATATAGTTCCTGTAAGTGCCTTCCAGTTCTGCATATTTATGAACTAATGCGCGCTTACGTACCAAGGTTGTTCTATCAGATGGATCTGTTTTCACACAAATCTTTGATATGCTGGACTTAGAATCAACCCTCAACCTCTGATAAGAATCCTCGCTCGACATACTCTCTACATGGGGGATGAAGCCGCTGTTCTCATCGGATTCTTGGCTTATACTCTTCCTTTTTCTCGTCGGCGACGGCGAACTCGTTAGTCCCTTCTCTGAGGGAGATGAGTTCATGAGATCAAGCAGCTGGTTCTGAAGGTTGCTGTAGTTCACACTCATGGCACTCAGCTTCTCATTCAGCTTCCTATTCTCTTCACTCAACTTCTGTACCTTCAACTTCATATCTTCAGCCTGTTTACATGACATATTCAAATAAAAATCTTAGAAACTTCACAGCTGAATAAAGATGTAATTAACAATAGAGATGATAGAAACCTCTTCTCTACTTGGTGAATTCCTTCGAATTTGTATCGGATTGGTCGCCAAAGTTCTCGAACAGATCTGAATTGAATCACAGAAAGTAACATACCATTCATCAAAGAGATACAAGTAAATCATAGATGCTGGAAGCTGACTGGCATAACTACTAACCGGAGCTTCGATAAGGAAGTTGGTTGGTCCAACACTGAGGTCAAGATTTACAGTGGAGCACCCAAGCTGAGGGGACGGATCCATGGAGATTGTGATTGAAAGAAGTGGTTTTGAGTCTTGTAGAAGAGAAGGGAAAGCGTGATTGGTGTTAAGGAAAAGGCTTTGAAGAAGAAGAGGAAGAAGACTTGGAACTCTTAAGGTGATCAGAATCTATGCTTATAAGAAGAAGATGGGGGACCGAAAATTCTTACTTGATTTGATGATATCATGACATGATATCATCAAATTGATGTCATGATCATAGGAAGGAATTGGGGGAGAAGGAGATGGATAATGCAATGAAGAGAAGCAATGACTGACTATATAGTGAATGAAGAGGAAAATTTCCATTAGGATGTCGGCTGTGGATTGGTAGGCGTTGGTGAAAGATGACAAAGGAGGAGAATAAAGTATTGGTTGGGGCTCTGGAAGGGAAGAAGAATCTGCTTGACTTTTCTTTCTTTTGCTTACTGCTCACGTTTTCTCTCTCTATAAAAAAATTTATTATTTGTGGAGTGCGCACCATCCGCACAAGTACTGAGTACCTAACGGTACCCAGCGATATCGAGTGCGGGTACCATTAGGTACCCAATACTTGCGCGAACGGTTCTCCCCGTCTGCACTCCGCACCTAATAATCTATCCTATCTATATATATTTTTTAATTTCATATTTTGCTTTTACTAATTGTTATAGTAAAATAAGATATAAAATAAAAAAAAATAAATTAAATTTTAAAAATAACTTTCTTACTATTTAATTTTTTTATCTTTAATATCTCAATTATAATTTTCGTATAACTAAAATTTTTTGGCCTCTTTTAAAAAAATTTGTACTAAGAAGTTTAGAAAAATTGAAGTAGTTTGGAATAGATTTATAATTTTTTTAATTTTAAAAAATAAGAATTTAATGAACAATACTTTTTATTTTTTTTACTTTGAAATATTTGCGTTTCACTTGATATAAATATTTTCCATTAATTTTCATTTAAAAATATAAATTAATTATTCAGGATTTTTTTAAATAAGATTTTAATTACATAATTAAATAATTGGGCAAGTGATTTAAGTCCAAATTAAGGAAGTTTAGCTTCAGTTACCTAGCCATACCTGGGGGGTCCTCTTTTTTGTCTTTTTGCTTTTTTTTTTTAATTAATAGGATTTAAAAAATAATTTTTGCATTTTTTATTAGCACAAATAATTAGATTTATTCTTCTCAGCTCTGAGTTATGTGCATTTGCAAGTTAGTCCTTGACTAATTTAAAATTAATTTTGAAATTATAAATGAAAGAATTTTATAAATTTCCTTTTTGAAAAATTTGAGTAGAAAAATTCAATTTGAAAATCTTGACAACAATTTAAGATTTTTAAAAAGTAAATTAGATTAAATCCACTAATTAAAAAACTTGATTTTGACAAATAACAACTTCAATGGAGGTCATTTTTGCAATTTAATAATTGATTTGTAATTTATTATACGCGAAAAGGGTGGCAATGTGAATACGGAAAGTTGAGAGGCAGGCGAAATAGTGGACTATCTCTGACCATTATTATTTTTTTTTTGGAAAAAAAAGAGAGCTATTCTTTTTTTTTTTTGGAAAAAAAAAAAAGAGATAGCTTTTCATTTTTTTTTTTTTTTTGTGACCATTAAGCTAATTTTCTTCTCTGGATTATGATAGCATCTAATAATTTTTTTAAGCTTTCATATGTTAAAGAAGTTCACTAATCATTTCTTACTAAGATAATACTAATGGTCTGTAATTAAGGTTCTAATCCACTTTGAGGTGGACCATTTTTTTAATTATGAGAAGACAAGCAGCACTAATCACGTGCAAAACCGGCGTTTTCAAGAGCCTTGAGAGCAACATTTATCCATTTACATTGCAAAAAATAAATTACGCATTTATTTCAGCAAACAAATATTATTTGCATTTGTCAACGGGCCATGCGAGGTGACTCCTACAAGTTTAAGTAACTAAAGTTCTCATCAGTATCATTATCCGAGAATCATCCTCCAAGCAGATGATATTCTAGAGGTGTCCCCTACAAGTTTAAGTGGTGGCTACCACCACATAGCACTTTGTCCCATTCAGGGTTCAAGAGGTGGCTCCATGGCATTAGCACTTTCTTGTATGACACTTAACTCCCATCTTTTGGCTGATATATTACTATGATATATTTTTTAACAGCCCAAACTCTTAATTATTGTGATATTGTCCACTTTGGCATAAGGGCATCACGGTTTTGCCCATTAGGTGTAAATTCCTAAAAGGTCACTAATCTCAAAATTGCTTAGGGATGAACAAGCTTAACTGCAGAGTTTCTTAATGAAATTTCAACCATTACACTAAAAGGCGTCTTGATGCTTAAGAGCTTAGCTTCTTTTACTTAAGTTGTTTCACACCATCTCCATTTGACCACTATTTTACAACCACTGTTAGATCACAAACTTCTTTTTTGGGAAAAATTAGGGGCAATCATGCCCAATTTTCATTAAGTTGGGAAATGAAAAAATACAAGAAATGTAAGAAAATCAAGAAAAACTTTTATAGCTTGTTAAAGAAATAAAAACAAGAATATAATCTAGCAAAAGAAAATGCTAAAACAAACCACCAACAAAAGAAGATTAAAATAATAGTCTTCAAATAGAAAATATAATTCTTTGAGAATCCTAAATAAACTAAGCCAATAACTAGCACAACTAAACCTCTAGATCGTCAGGGAACCAAAGAACAACAAGAACTAAGGGTCATGACATAAATCAGATTGTTGCACGAAGATGAAAAGAAGGAAATACCCTTCTTCTTTTCATGATCAGGATATCTTCAAACACTAGAACCCCAAACAAGATCTGACCAACCAGCTGATATTCAAATAAGAAAATCAGGCTCTATAATAACTCCCCAACAATAACTTCAAGATGGTATTAACATAAGCTATTTCCTACAATCAACATCACCAAAATTTTAACATCAAGTTCCCTTAACATAATAACTTGAAAAACCAATACCCAAAGTCAAGAACCAGCCAACTAATGAATCCGCAACCAGCATCTTAAATTGAACATCATGTTCCAAGAAAAGAATATCTATAGAACAATTGAAGAACCCATAAGAAATAACAACAATAATATACATAAAACAACCATTAAAGTCCAAAATAAAACAAATCACCACAACCCAAAACCCCATCCAAAGACTCATGATGGTTAATTTCGTCAAACTGAAAACTTCAAAAAATAAAACCCCCTCACATTATCAAAGAATTAGCCATCCAAGTCCAAAACTGATTGCCCAATTCACGCATTGACAGTCGTTATTAGACCCCCACTTACGCCCACCATCGAACCACCGCCCAACAAATATTGTCAATGCTCCAATAAATTGATCATATCATCATTAGTTCTAATAACTTGATTATAACCATCAATCTAGATTGCATATCAATACAAGAAAAAAAAAAACATACTTCCAAGAGTTATATAAGCAATAAGTCTTTCAAAGTCCTAAGCAAAACTATTGGATCTAAATAGTATCAACACAATTTTCATCAATATCACCAAAAAATTGATGAATCTTCAATCATATTCAGACATTCAAGCTCTTTATCTGGTTCCAATGGCAATCTCCTCCTCTTTGAAGTTTGATTATAAATTTTAAGGGTGCAACTTCTATCACAATTATAGCACATATATCTCAATTGAGTCTAGTGACATAATAGTCAACGGTGAAGCTCGTGAACTTCTTTGCCTACTATCTCCAAAATCTCAATACGAACCCTAACGTTAATATGAAAATTTACATTGGACTTCTTGATCTTCAGTCTCTTATCCTGAAAGAAGAATGATTGGACATGCTATAACATAATCTCTTGAATACAACACAAATAGTTCAAGGCTTCTTTAACTTGCGCTATAGAATTCTTCCTCTTAAACTCGTTTTTATAATATTATATCTACTCATTCTCTAATTATGCAAAATGATATTATTGGAAGCCTATGACGTATACCAGTGAAATTATTTCAACTAAATCAAGGTTTACGATTTTTCCTTTTTCAAAATTTCCACATAAAAATTTTAACGATCTCTATCAATTTTTTTTTTTATATTTGTATGTGTTGAATCTTCATATAAAATTAGGATATTAAACGCTTTCGGTGTCGTCCTCAATCTTGTAACTCACAAAGAAACATTTAAATGTATAAATCTAAAATAAAACATTTTTTTTCAGAAAGTTACACATTAAACATTTAACATCAAGTTCCATTAATAAGAAACATTAAAACAAAAGCTATTTCCTACAACCAACATCATTAGAATTTTAACATCAAGTTCCATCAAGTTCCATTAAGATAATAACTTAAAAAACCAGCACTCAAAGTCAAGAACCAGCCAACTATTGGATTCGCAACCATCATCTTAAATTGAACATCATGCTCCAAGAAAAGAATATCTACAGAACAATTAAAGAACCCATAAGAAAGAATAACAATAATATACATAAAACAACCATTAAAGTCCAAAATAAAACTATGCCACAACCCAAAACCCCATCCAAAGACTCATGATGGTTAATTTCATCAAACTGAAAACTTCAGAAAATAAAAACCCTCACATTATCAAAGAATTAGCCATCCAAGTCCAAAATGGATTGCCCAATTCACACATTGACCGTCATTATTAGATCCCCACTTACCCCCACCATTGAACCACCGCCCAACGAAAATTGATATCATCATTAGTTCTAATAACTTGATCATAACCATCAATCTAGATTGCATATCAATACAAGAAAAAAAAAAATACTTCCAAGAGTTATATAAGCAATAAGTCTTTCAAAGTCCTAAGCAAAACTATTGGATCTAAATAGTATCAACACAATTTTCATCAATATTTTTTTTTTTTTTTTTTTTTTTTTTTTTTATTCAG